GGATGTCATGGAATTTGCCAAATTTTGGAAGAATAAATCAAAAGTCAGTAAATTAAATCAAATCTTGATATGGACTATGTGTCTGTGAATATTAAGCTGCAAAAACTACCATTATATCATATACAAACAGAAACTTAAAGGTCTTCACAGCAACTCAACAAAATAAAAGTTCGGTTTAACTTGAAGAAACTGTGACAGAAACATAGCCTATTACTTAATAATTTATAGTAGTACTGCTACTAATAATAATAAAAAATAAATAAAATAAATATTTTTAAGGAATGTTTACCAGAAAAATGTAAATGCACAACACAGTATATCTGAGAAAATAATAATAATAATATTTTTTTAATAAAATCAATTATTTAGAGATGACTTTGATTATTAAAATTTAACGAAACCATTAAAATGGATTCCAGAAAATTAATGGAAAACACAGAATTTGGTAAAAATAAAAATACATTTCAGAAAAAAAAGGTTTTCATAGGACCTTAAAAATTTTAATAAATTTCTGTTACATTGTGTAAGTTTCATGATTTAAATTAATTAGACATGATTTTTGATTAATGAAATTAATGTAACCAATAAAATGGAATCGAGAAAAAAATAAAATGGAATGATGATTCAGAAATCATTCTAATACAGTGATTTAGTGCTCAGGAAATTCATTAAGGGAAATCAAGGGATTCTTTGATGAATAGAAAAGCTCAAAATAACAGCATTTATTTGAAACAAATGTTTTGAAACGTAAAACGCTTTACTGTCACTTTTGATCAATTGAATGCATCTTTTCTGGATAAAAGTGTAAAAAAAAAAAAACAATAAAATGCTGCACACTTCAGAAGGTTATCAGATGGTTATTTTAGCTCACAGTAACAACTTCTCAAGGTTTCTGTATACATCTGATTAAGATGCGAAACATCCTCACATGCCCTCACGACCTCATCCGTAGTTTTTTATGAGTGACAGTGCTCCTCATTTTAGAGTGATATAATGATTTCTAAAAGCAGCCCTTTTGTTCTATCATGAAGGACTGGCACCCCACCAGCAATGCTAATATGACTAGAGTTGCATTGATTAATGGATGATTGCGTATAGAAAATTCAATTTGGCTGAGACCCAAAACAGATTCTATTCTCTAGTGTCTGTATTGGGTTTGCCTCTGTCCTCCAACAAGAGAAAAATTTGCTTCAACATGGAAACTCGAAATAAAAGGGCCAGTGATTAAAATATGTGAGGAAAAAAAAAACTTTTTTATTATTTCCATTGGCTTGAGAATGTTTCTTTTAGATCTTACTATAGTCATTATAGAAATGTATATAAAAGTTGGCAGTAAAAGATAAAGTGTTGCACATTTTATTAGTACAGTGTTTATGTCATTTGTGAAACATTTACCCTGCTTTTTATCACGTAATTAGAAGCACCACAATTAAATTGTGTCGTCTGTTACACAAGGACTACGCTAAAAACAATTTGGTGTAGAAAAAAAAAAGTCTTCAATCCTATTAGATAATCAAAAGTTTTCACGCACATCAAAATACAGGAAATGCATCGTCAAGTAAGTACACAAGTGCTCAATTGCAAAGACTGCATGCTGGGTATTGGCACAGTCCCAGCATCTCTACACACAATGCTATGCCTTTCTAGTCATTGTGCTTTTCACCTAATGACTGGGGTCAGGATTAAAATGATGAATCTAACCCAAGATGAAGGCCCCATCACTGTCTTCATAGAGACTTAGCTGGCCTCCTCCTTCTGACCTCAGGACCCTATATCTAAGCAGTCCTGGATGAAGAATGCATATCCAGAGCCCGTCTCTATCAATTACATCTAGTAATTAAGAGTGTCATCAGGAGATAAAGAGCACCATTGGAGAGACCCAAACAGTGGGAAACACACTTCTTCTTCATGGGATTTTAGGCTAATCTCATTTTACTGGAACTGTTCTTCCCCCGCACTCACCTTTGATGTGTAAATTAGGCCAGAATCGAAGAAATAAACACAGTCACAAGCCAAAAGAAAATGGAGGCCTTGGCAGAGCAGATTTTTTTTTTTTTTTGGAAAAACAAATGGCATGAGTACAGAATTTCTGCTTCATCATGATTGAATGTTATTTAAAAGAGAAGATTTTCAGCACTAGCACAATTCAGTATGAGTGTGTCTCCCAGTAATAATAAAAAAACACCAAAAACACTATAGCGTGGCTGAATATGCAACTGATGGCTGCAGTTTTGACAAATGCATGTTGTATTACATTCCCACTTTACATGCAATCATTTGCAGCAGCAAACATGTAATTATTAATACTTATGTCACACAATAAAAGCATTGTTCTATCTTGAGAATGAAACATGTTGACATGCAATTACAGGTGGTGTTGATTTGAAAATGGAATTTACACAAATGTATTCATACTTAGTTTGCGTTGACAATTGCCTGACAATTCATAAACGATATATTCTATCATAACTGTTATAAAACATTTTATTTTAATTTATATGGGCATATAAACGTATATAAAATACTATATTTTTCACAAGCTTCCATTTAAAAATACAAAATAATGTATTTGAATATTTATTAAAATATATAATATTAATATTATGTTAATATTATACAGTATATTATTTACTAACCTTTATAATCCATCAATCTATGTTAATATAAAAATATTAAATATTTTTAAAAACATGAAATAATGTATCATGATAATATTAGTTAATAGTTATGTCTACACATGATCAGATATGGACAATGGCAACTTTTCCATATCCAGCTAATGCTGGAGCCCAACATTTTTATGTCTTAAATGGTTTTGTCTTGTTTTGCCTTATTTTCACTTCAAACATGGTTAGAGAAAATCTTCACAGATGCTGGTCGACGTGTCCTGATTATTTTTTTCTTCTAAATTAGCATGTGTACTGAAGCAGTTAGCAAAGGTCTTCAAAGGCTTTTCCAGGACTTTATCCAAGCATCTGAGACATGCTGAAAAAAAGACCTCAGCTTAACATGAGGGACAAAGAGATTTACAGTGAGATTTGGAGTCTAATTCAACCATCTTCTTTAATCTTTGCATGCCACAGTGCTTCCTCCAACTGGGCAACCATTTTCCAAAGTCAGCTGTAACCATTTCTGCTCCATTTAAATAGCAAATTATTAAATTATCCTCACATGTATTCTTATTTCCTCACGCTGCAGTGTGAATATTAAGAAGCTGAATTAATGTGGGGTAAATAAAGCCATCAAAATGTTTTGACTTCTCGCCTTTGCAGTCTCGCCAGCATTGTAATATTGTCTGCTCTTCCCCGCTTGAAAAAGGATCTGAGATGAGCTGTTGGCACTACAGCCTGAAATATAAATGTGACAAAATAAATTATAAATTGACACTACCGCAAAGCCTGTTTCAGGAGTCAGGCGGTTTTGGTTCAGAGGAAACCGAGTTATCTTTTTTGACACGAATATACATGCTCGCCATGATCCGTGCTCCAAAAACAATGTGTTATCGCTTGAGGTCTGTCTGCATTTAATTTTAACATCAGTACCTGCTTGCGACTTTAGTCTGCCTGTCAGAGACTACACAGCTGGGCTCAGAGTGAACACGGCAGCTTTGTCACTAGTGGGAATATGTTGTGCACAACTTTGGCTGTAGGACTGCTTTTTCAAAGATGAAGATCCCAAAGAGTCTGTCCCAGGAAACACTGTCCCTGCATCTGCTTGCTCAGTATGGTTAACTTCTTCTTACAGCTGGAACACCCTTGAAGCTACTTCTGAGTCTGTTTCCTCACCTCACCCTCGGAATGTCTTTTAGAAGATTCTGATCTCCATGTACAACTTGATAGTATTGACAGCTCTTTGACACACTTCATTCATGGGTCTCTTGTAACTCTTCTACTTATCAGCCAAATATGAATTATAAAAACTTTTTTGTTTCTTCAAAAGAGATTTCAAGATTTTATTTAGATATGTAGGTAACTTTTTTTTTGTTGTTGTTACTATAAGATGACCTTATTTCAGACACAGATTTTTAATTAAACAAAAAATCATCAATAAAAATACATAAAAAATACATGCATACAAAAATAATAAATGTATACATAAATTAATATATTAAATATATATATATATATATATAGAGTGAGAGAGAGAGAGAGAGAGAGAGATTATAAATAAAAAATATTTTTTATTATATTTTGATTAACATTGTATCATTTATTAAATATGATTTTGCTTTAAATTTGTCTTAAAACAATTTTTTTCTAAATTATTATGGTTATTTATTTTTTGGTTCAGATTAATTACAATGGTAATATTACATATAGTGTAATATCTGTACATATATTGCAATATCCATTGTCTTGTCACCAGCACCCGGTACGTACAAACCATTTCTAACATTCATATGTGACCCTGGACCACAAAACCAGTCTTAAGTCTCTGGGGTATATTTGTAGCAATAGCCAACAATACATTGAATGGGTCAAAATTATTGATTTTTCTTTTATGCCAAAAATCATTAGGATATTAAGTAAAGATCATGTTCCATGAAGATATTTTGTAAATTACCTAAATATAGGTAAATATATCAAAATTTATTTTTTTATTAATAATACGCATTGCTAAGAACTTCATTTAGACAATTTTAAAGACGATTTTCTCAATATTATTTTATTTTTTTGCACCCTCAGATTCCAGATTTTCAAATAGTTGTATCTCGGCCAAATATTGTCCTATCCTAACAAACCATACATCAATGGAAATCTTATTTATTCAGCTTTCAGATGATGTATAAATCTTAATTTAAAACAATTGACCCTTATGACTGGTTTTGTGGTCCAGGGTCACATATAGCAAACGTGAGGCATTTTTGGCAAACTATGGTGCCAAACATTTCCTATATTCTGTTATTTATTTAATACTGTAAAAGATCCACTGAACTTTTCCCCTGTCATTGGGGGAAAACTCAGTGAATGTACAACAGACGGAAAGGATGATACATTTACCTCTGCAGTGCTTGTATCTTCTCTGCTGTGATTCCCTGAACAATCTTCTCCAGCACGTCTGTGTCTGCACTTGGCTCTACCTTTACTTGCTCCTTGCTGAAGGCGTATCGTCCAATCAGCAGCCCCAGAGCAAACACTCCCATCCCTGCTAGCAAATATTTGGCGAGGCAGGTCCCATTCCGTCTCTGGCCCTTGGGTACCGACCGGCTAAAACGAGAAACGTAATTAGGGTCCTCCTGGAGACGCTCAAAACGTCCGTGGGGGGAGACGGAGGGTTGAATTGGTCCCAGGTCTGGGTCCATGCCCCCGCCAGAAGAGCTGCTCACAGGTTGATGCTCCACACACTCCAGCTGGAAGCGATCCAGACCCAGTTCTTCCAGCTCCTTCTCCATGTCCCATTCCAGTTCCAGGGAAGCTGTGTGAAGCTCCTCACTCTCCAGATCTCGTACACGGAGAGAACCGTGGCCAGCACGCACTTTCCGATATGCCATGTCTGTCACTGTAGAAACACACACAGGCATAAATGTAATTAACAATTTTAATAATGTAGATGCATACGTCCAGCTCGTTTTTTGAGACTTTGGTCATGTTTAGCATGAGAATCCAACTCTTTAACAGTGTAAATAAGTCAGAATGCATGAAATAGCATTAGGCCTCCCCTTTAATAAAAGAAAGTTCAAAACGACAACATTTATTTGAAATAGATTGTTTTGTAACAATGTGAATAAAGTCGTTTCTGTCACTTTTAATCAACTTAAGGCATCTCGGTAAATATACGTATTTTCTTTATATAAAACCACAAATTACTCACACTTTCAAAGCACATTAAACTCTGTGCTCCCATGGTTGTTATTAGCCAGTGTTTTGTGCCAGTTGGACACACATCACTCTCTACACAGACACAGAACACTCCCAGGGAGGGATGTACAAGCTCACAGTTTGACTGTTGTTGCTAAAAAAGGTCATTAAGGGTGATGACTTGGTTGGTTCAAATTCATAAAAGAGAAGCCAGTGTCTCAGTGTACCATCAAATTTAACTATTCCTTTAACAGACACCGCCATCAAACTCAAAACAGCCCAATCGATAATGACAAAACTCCAAACCGCCCAGAAATTCCAAACCGCATGCAGGGCCATTATCCAGTCAAACTGAGTCCCTGAAATAGGTTGCCTTTAAAAAATTACAGAGAGAAATATCTGCTGTCGGCACTAGGCACAGCAAAGGGAGCTGGAGAAACCTTTGATAGTCACACTTAAAATAGTCATTTAGAGGTGGAGAGAAATCTGCTCTGATAGAGGGAAATAACTTCACAACTACTAAACATTACCATTCGACACACGTTTCATTGAAAATGGTGCCGCCGAGGATTTTGCATCACATTCACTTTGACCATTTTCTCTCCCCCTGTCTTTTTATATCATCTGTTCTCACTCTTTTATAGGAATGAAGGGACATGAATGATTTTTTATGCTTTCACTTTTAAATAGGCCTCACAGAATGTGAGAAGGTGGAAATAATGTGCTGTTGTCTCTCAACATTATTCTTCAGTGCCCCACAAAACTTCCATTATTACGGGGCGCCATTGGAGAGGAGCGATCGGCTTCATTTACACTCTGACCCCGGCAATGATATGGGTTGTCAAACTCTCAGGACAGTGCTAACCCTCATCTCCTCTCCACTCCTCCTACACCCGTGTCTTCGGCTCTTTGCTCACAGACTGACAGCTGACGTTCAATCACCAGAAACATCAGTAATTTAACGCCTTTCGACTACCCAACAGAGCCATCAATTAAAGTAGAGGGAAATTCACCATCTTTGGCTTTTCCCCAGTGATTGATGTTACCGTGAAAGTGGAAAAGATGCTTCTTCACATGCTGTATTTCAACTCAAAACCTGCACCTCATTTTTTGAGCCAGGTCTAAAATTAAAAATGCAATTTTATATACAGTAT